CGGAGGCTGGGCGCCGATCAATGCCGGTCCGGAGAGCGTCCGAGGCGACGCGGCGGCCGCCGACGGCGCGCAGCCCGGCCGCTGCCGACTGTCAGCAGCTGCACCGCACCCCGGCCGCACCCGCACCGCACGGACCTCGCTGGTGAGCGCCGCCCGCCGTCCGGCGCCGGCGGCACGCCCGGCAATGTGTGTGTGTGTGTGTGTGTGTGTGTGTGTGTGTGTGTGTGTGTGTGTCCTCGGCGGCCGGGGGCCGAGCTGGTCTAGGCCGTTTGCGACCTAGACCGGCGACTTCCGATCTAGACCATCGTCGGGGACGATGAGCGCAACCGGGGCGCGTCGGCGAGTGGCGGAAATGCTGTCTATTCATTGGGCAGGATATTTTTGGCATGCGGTTGGCGGGGAATCAGGCTTTTTGGGGTTGCATGTGAAGAATTTGCACTAAGGCCGCGTTTTAGCGTTTTATGGAATGTGAGGCCCTCGTCCACTAGGTGAGTACACAGCGCAGCCTGTTAATGTAGAGCTAGCTGGGTTTGCAACAATGACACACCTGCATACGCCTAACGCGTGCATCACTGCATAGGAGGGATCCAGGGTCTTTTATGTGCCCAAAATATCTAGTACGCGCCGTAGGCTTGGCATGATGCTGGAAAATCAACGGATGTCCTGACCAGAAATGCAACTTTTCGCTGCCATCTCGACCCGCGGCCCACTCTGATTCACCCAATGGGGATCCAGTGCAAGAGTGCACGGACCACCATTCTGGTCGGAACCCAACCACATCGATTCATTTGTTGTGTGTATGGAGTGATGTACATGCTTAACCATTGACATCACATAGAATACGTATTGACTATATTATCCGCATTATTTAGTGTACACATAACAGGAGCACTGCAGAAGCTTAAACAGCAGCAAATTGTAACAAAGTTGCAATATCTGAAAAAGCAAGAACGAAAGGTTATTGTGTTTTTAAATGGTGATGCTTGTCTTAACGTGAAGCTATTAAACAAGCAGGGGGAGGAATAAGTGTACCAGAAAAACAAGTGTACCCCTGTTCCCCGACCCATGAAACAGCAGGACCTAACAGTGGCTTCCGCCTATGATGTATTTGCATGGAGTAAAAGGAGGAGGATGCTCAATATTTGCATGAGCATGTGGCGAGTGTTGACATTTCAGACAATCACAGTACATGCACAATATGATGTCCACTCCCAGGGCGCTGGCGGAATTTCGTATTATTATTATTGCTGGAATCGGTCCGGGTAAAGTAAAGGACTTCGAGCAGTTTTGAAGTGCTAGGGTTGAAGCCCCATTGTGGCCTCCTACACGTGAGGGGAGCGCATCACACAGAGTTTTGTAACCATTCAGCTTTCATGTGGCCTTTTCTCCGTTTTTCCAGCAAGTTCAGTCAGACTGCGTGTGCCATCAAAGTACACTTGTGTGCATGCAGTTTGTATAAAGTAAGCACGCCGCCGGAGAAGAAGGCCTTCGCAGCAAATGCAACGTGAATGAAAGTGAGTCAACATAGCGGAACATAATGTCTCGTGTTCGAGATGAACTGGATAGCCCATGTTCATTTTTCCTGGACAAACATGAAATACTGATGATGTAACACTAAACGCGTATGCTTATAGGAATAGGTGTGGCCACTACATCATGCTGAAACGACAGACTTGGGGTGAACATGACATGATAGAAATGTTCCAGAGTGGATTGGTTCCTAGCAGCCGAAAGATATCCTTTGCGTCGATGGGGTCGGCAAACGATCACGCCCCACGAGGGCGGAGTGGGAGAAGGCTCCGTTGCCTTTGTCCTCCGGAACCTATCGCCCAATTTGAACGATTTACATGGCATTGGAAAGCTCCTCAGAAGACGGTCCGGGGGCACTTTATTTTGATTTAACTTTATTTTGCTTTCATATTGAAATAATAGGTCAAAGATGGGTCAAAAGTCAATATAGCTCTTTTTACATCATGGGTTATCGAGCCCACTTGTACAGCAAGACTTATTCTGCCAAACAGCACTCTTAAGCGGGGTTAGAGAATCGTGTAAGTTACATACCGATACCGAGTCAAGATCAAGGTCAAACCATAACAGTTCATCACGAGGCCAATTCAGTTTCCTCATGAACGCACACCTTTGGACTATTTTTGCAAGCGTTATACAGTGTAAATGTTTTGAAATTTAGCTGGGATTGGGAGATGAGAGCTCCAGCATTCTAAATTTGAGAAGAAACTAGTGTCATGTCCTGAGAGAACTCCGCTTATTGTAATTTTCACTTCCACCCCCTCCCCCTCCCACCATCTCTGTCCTAAACTCATTTTCCGCAACTACACTCTTGCCCTCAAGTCTGCATCTAGGTCACTTTCGAAACCAATGGCGGTTCTACCAAGGTCAAGCCGGAGACGTTCATCGTATGGAATAATGAAATCACTCATATAACACATGTTCCCAGATTATTTTTAGCAGCAGAATGCACTGTAATTGTTCTTCAGTGTGCATTCTGGTTAGGTTAGGTCAGGATAGGTTAGGTTAGGTTAGGTTAGGTTAGGTTTGGTTAGGTTAGGTTAGGTTAGGTTAGGTTAGGTTAGGTTAGGTTAGGTTAGGTTAGGTTAGGTTAGGTTAGGTTAGGTTAGGTTAGGTTAGGTTAGGTTAGGTTGTTTTAGCAGTCATCAGAGTGTCAAGCTCAGCCGGCCGCGTCAAACCGTGAGGGTCATTGCATTTACGGTCATGTAACGCTGTAAAATAGAGATGTCGACTTAAGCTCTATCATATCGTGTGAACCCTATCATATTGTATGTAAAATAGCTATGTCTTCAACTCTATTATATTGCGTGAACCTTAGCATATGGTATGTAAACAGAGATGTCGACTTGCACCCCATCATGTTGTATTTGATCAGAGTTCTTTAAGTCACATTTACTCTCTGGTTTTGTGAAACATTACAACAAAGGTTTACGTGCTGCAAGGTCTTGTTAGAATACTGCGGCCTTCATAATCCATTCAGAATCAGGAGGAAATTTAACACGCCTTAAATATGACATGGCAGTCGTGAACATCATGCAATTTCCTACCGTTTGATATGCAATGCTATGTTTTTCACTGAGATCCTCCTGTTTGGTGTGTTACTGAATGCTTGGTTGTTCATACAAATCACAGTGTGTGACATGCAGTGACATGAGTAAAACGCCATTTTCTGGTTAAAGGTTGAGACAAAACAACGATATTTTATGCTGGAAAAGTGTGAAGAATTAATGCTAGGTGGGAAATCGAAAGTTTTGTGTCAATAGCTGCATTTCTTGCTGAACCATTTTTCCGTTTCCGAACCGTTTGTTCTGTTCTTGCAATAGATGGTGAGTTGAAGTTGTTCTGCCGTGTTGGTGCACGTCACATTCACTTCCTTGGATGGTTCATGAACGATGCGTTCATCTACTTTTTAAGATGGAGACTTGTGATTGCAAAAGCAGAGTCAAGCAGTCAGTCATGTTTTGACCACTTTGTTGGAGGTTTGGTTTTTGTTTCTCGTTATACATGTCTTTTGATTTCGTTATCAATGTCTACCTTTGCTGTGCAGTGCATTGCCGTCAGGAGTATTTGAGATCACCGACTGGGTTAATAAACAAACCCTGAGCGCTACTGGCTGATGGACAAGGTAAACATTTACGTTTGTAACGAAGGTCGAAGCCAGTACATGATGTTCAGTAGCCGTAAGAAATACACGAAGTTCGTTGACATGCACCTCATACCTAGATCCATTCTATGCTTTATTGATCCATACATACTACACCGCGCAGGTTCAGTTCAGTACACACGCCGACCGAACCGTTTGTTGGAACGCAGGTTTGGTGACGGGTAGTGACCGGCACCAGGCCGTTTACTGACCATTAAGGTCGCTGCGTGCCGGCTCACCTGCACGTGTCGGTTCCCACGTGCGGGCATCGACTCGGTCCGTGGCCGCGCGCCGGGGCGATGGCTCAGCCCGATCAGACAGAGTCGTGGCAAGGGTCGGCGCTCACCAGCCAGCGGCGCCGGCCCGACCCGTGCACCCAGCAAGACCTCTGCACCGGGCCTCTGCACCGGGCCGAGACCTCCAGTCGGCGACCTGCCGTGCCCTGGGCTGGTGCGTCTTTGTTGCAGCGGCCCCGATAATGTCCGATAATGTCCCAGATACGGGGTTATCTGGGCCGATTGTGTACCTTGTCAAGTGAATATGACTTTTTGCGCACGTGCTTCCTCTTATGTGCTTATGTGTAACCGACTTTTCTGATCTGTTGTGCTATGGTCCATTATTTGTCTGTATGTACGCATATATATATATATATATATATATATATATATATATATATATATATGTATTTGAGTCGTGGCAAGGGTCGGCGCTCACCAGCCAGCGGCGCCGGTCCGACCCGTGCACCCAGCAAGACCTCTACGGACATATATATATATATATATATATATATATATATATATATATATATATATATATATATATATATATGTGTGTGTGTGTGTGTGTGTGTGTGTGTGTGTGTGTGTGTGTGTGTGTGTGTGTGTGTGTGTGTGTGTGTGTGTGTGTGTGTGTGTGGTGTGTGTGTGTGTGTGTGTGTGTGTGTGTGTGTGTGTGTGTGTGTGTGTGTGTGTATGTGTGTGTGTGTGTGTGTGTGTGTGTGTGTGTGTGTGTGTGTGTGTGTGTGTGTGTGTGTGTGTGTGTGTGTGTGTGTGTGTGTGTGTGTGTGTGTGTGTGTGTGTGTGTGTGTGTGTGTGTGTGTGTGTGTGTGTGTGTGTGTGTGTATGTGTGTGTGTGTGTGTGCGTGTGTGTGGGTGTGGGTGTGGGTGTGTGTGTGTGTTGTTCCAGTCCTGGCCGAACTCCGCTTAATTTCATTCCCTGTTCATTTCAGTGTGTCTATTCCTTGCGGCTCGCGGCATATGCTAACGCCTCTCACCACATCCGCAGGTGGGGTGCGCTGCCTGGCTGACCGTCTGCTCTTGGCATGACCGCCATGACACAGGAAGGTGTCACGTGTCTGACGCTGCTGCTGCTGTTGTCTGTATCGCTTTCATTCGGTGAGTGTCTTGTACCTTGTAATTTTGCCGTTCAGTGCTTGTAGTTTCTCGGGCATGAGCTTTTGTTCACATGTACGCATTTGTACATGTGTCTGACGCAGTTTAAAAGTAGCTTTCATCGGACGCGTGGACAAAGCTTCAGGCCATAAGCGGTACATCTGACTACGTCACGGTCTTGCTCCATGTGCTTTTCTTTTGGACAGATATCACCACTGCGTTCAGGACATGATTTATTCTTCCATTTCAAGCCTCATCACGCTGGGTATTCCTTGAGAAAAAAGGTGCCTGGTGACCGTTTGTTAGACTTAAATGCCCCACACTTTTTAACGATAGCTTTTTATCCTTTTTTAAGGACCTGTTAATGCATACCTAATCAAGATATGATGAGTAAGAAGACACCAAAAAACCTTTTTGGGTTGCAATTCGTTTGTGGTTTGTGAGTGCCTCTCACAGCATTTATTCTTGACATGTCTGAAGACAATTTGCATTGGTTTATCGATTACAGCTTTCCTTGTTCACCTGAACAAGTGAGGTGATTTAAGTGAACGCTTCGACTTTAGGCATCACTTATAATGCGACGAGCAGTTTATGAACCTAGTTTAAGCACCCTCGGATACGCGTCGCATGTGTAACGTTGCAGAGGGCTGCACGCCGTGGTTTACAATGATTCGTGTAATGATTCGTGCAATTTTGCAACATTTCCTATATGGCCTCTTAGGGTCTCTCGGGTTCTTCAACAAGAATGAAAGTGGTCCTGGAGTGCTATGCCGCTTTGTTTTGCAGTATATCAGTCTTGAAACCTCCTACAACTTTTTGCAGCACTTTAGAAAATTTGTGCTTAGGATCTTTTATGCACCGCAAGAACACTGTAGGTAGTTTTAGGGCGCTATATTGATTTGTTAAGCAATAACTGCTGTTGCAACATCCTGCAACTTTCGCGACATTTTCTAGAATCCTCTTGCAAGAGCTCTAGTGGCTTGGAAGACCACTGAAGGTAGTTTTAGGACACTAACTAGGTTCGTTATGTTCATATCCGTTTCATTCGATGCTAGTCATATGTTCAGGCAACCTGGCCATCTTGCAAAAAAAGCCTCACTCAGTAATGTGCTGCACCGTGTGCTCCTTCCAGACTGTATACAAGTGTCATGCTCGCCAATTCCGTGTGAGACACATAGATATCTCACTGCCCTGGATGGAGTTAGGACCATTTCACTGCTCTGGTTAAGGTTAGAGACATAGAGTCCGTGAAAAGGTTCTTTCCCTGCTACACCCGTTTGACACGACTTGGGTAAAGAACGCTCTGTCGAGCATCTTGCCTACTCCCCCAATCTGTTTTTGGTTTGCAACATAAGCTGACTTTAAATGCGACTTAAATTCGTCCATCCCTCCCCTAAGATGAGCTGCCGTTGCTTCCACAGGTCCTTATAACCTTTCAACTTCAATGCAAATCCACGTCTGCTCTACCCCGCCGCATCATACGCTGCATTCGTTCGTCGTATCGCTTATCAACTTAAGCCCCGAATTTTGCCTTACTTATGCTCCCCAGTGGCACACATGGTTGGCGTGGAGTACTGCTGCCTAATATGCTGCCAAATTTAGAGTTTTAGGAACCCTGAACACACGTTTGCAATGTTCACGCCTCTTCATCTCGGCACGTCAGGCTCTTTTACGCGAGGCGTTCGGTTTCTTCGGGTGAGGGGTCAAAGCGAATAACTGGACGCCCTTTCTACCGATGTAGGGGGCTCTCATCTTTAGTGTCCTCCAGATAGCGCCCTTGTCCCTTCTCAAAGGTATTTCCTGGCCCGGGATTTTACGCCGTTTTCGCCGAGCACATCTTTCGTAAACGTCTTTACGAGAAACGTGTGACGACTGCGACGACCGAGTCGCACCTTTCACAAGTTCTGGTGCGCACCGTCCCTGTTTTATGAGGGCCACCGGGCCGTTTATGCGAGCTTCAGCTGATAAAGAGCATGACGTCAGCGCACAGCTAATACGCTGTTGTCCTGTGGCCCGGAGTGGCTCTTCATGCTTAGATAGCGCCCACGTAGCGTCCTGCGTCTAAGGAGACTGCCTTCCCTAATGCCAACCACAAAGCGATTTCCTGGCTGGGATTGTATGCCGTCTTTGCCGAGTACATCCTTCGCAAACGTCTTTCTGAGAAACCTGTGACGACTATGAGTCGCACTTTCCATAAAGTCCTATGGGCACTGACCCTGTACGATGAGAGTTTCTATGCGGGATGTTCCCTCCCTCTTTAATGTGATCAGCCTTTCAACGTAATCACTTCTGCTCTGAAAGTCCTAAGTCCAGCCTCCTCCATCTGCAAAGTTACCATTATCGGCAGACATGGGCGTAAGAGCCCATGTTAGCACAAGAGCCCATCTATGTATGGGCTCATCAGCTCATACATAGACGTTTTGGTCTCACGCGCCCGTTAGGTTGCTGCAAATATGTAAGATGTATCTTTAGCTTATCCCCAATAGACTGACAACAGCAAGATAATGTTTATTTCCTTCAAAATCAGAATCTTGAAGAGCCAGAATGGCCGCTACACATTGGCATTAAGGTTCAATAATTTGTGACTCTGCTTGACCAACGTACTCCCCATGTAACCATCACTTCCGAATATCGTAATCGATACATTGCTTTCGAGTCCAACTTACAATGCGGATTAGCAACAGGATAATTATGCCCGGCTCAATAAAGTCCTATTCATAATTTCCAGTGTGAATGACATGACACACACGCCCCCTGGCGTTTACGTCACGTTGTTGCCGCCTAAATTGTTGCGACGGGTCGTGTCCCTTGAAAAGTAGCCGGTGAAGCCTAGGTGCATGAAAACTTCGGTGCACTTTGGGCAACTGACTCAAAATTCTCTGAATCAGGGTAGATAAAAAATGTCGTTTAAAATTCTGACCAGCTTATGTCCAGGCTGTATTTTGATATCTACCCAGTTGAGGCAGACGCACACCCAGTGACTCAAGATGCCTACCCACTCGCTGAATTTCGCCCTCTCAGGGAACGGACGAATAATGGACGAATAATCTTAGGAAAGTGGTGAGTCTTATTTGCCGAACATCATGGATGAGTCAAATAGGCAAGATTGTGCACCAGTGGAAAATGTATATCTACATCTAGCATAGCAAGCGTGACATTTAGTTACTACCGAAATGTGCCACTTTATTAAGGGCAGACAATGTACTCCGGCTCTCTTCCATTCCCTCCCCGCCATGGTCACTGGGCTTGCTTCCCAGCTAAGTTTCTTAATGTACATCCTGACCCTGCCCAAAGCACTTCTTGAAACCTTCTTACGCCTATACATTTAGCTTATGTTTTCGTGTAGATGAAGCCATTGCAAAACGATTTTCACAAAACGCGTGACCCTGGATTTCAAGTGGTGTTAAAATCCCTGTTTGGCAATCCATTGTCGAAACTGTAGATACACGTGGCAGAACCAAAATTAAGTGGAAAAAATCGAGTGTTGAACAAAAGCTGAAGAAATCCTCCAAACGCACGGGCATGAGTATTCTGGCGCGCACCAGCTTTGCTGTGGTGCACCGGTGCAGGCCGTGGCGTAACGTGGCGTGCGCCGGCCGCGGCCCGGCTGAGATCAACTGACCGTGGCGTAACGTGGCGTGCTCCGGTCACAGCCCGGGTGAGATCAACTGACCGTGACGTAACGTGGCGTGCTCCCGCCGCAGCCCGGGGTGAGATCAACTGACCGTGACGTGACGTGGCGTGCTCCGGTCGCAGCCGGGGTGAGATCAACTGACCGTGACGTGACGTGGCGTGCTCCCGCCGCAGCCCGGGGTGAGATCAACTGCTACAAGTGCTCGTCCCGAAACGGTACGAACCCGGCCTGCCACGACCCATTCTCCCCGGCCATGTCCACGTACGTGCGCGCCTGCAAGGTGCCGAAGCAGAAGCACGTGGGCGAGTTCCCAGCCAACTTCTGCGTAAAGCTGACCGGCACGTCAAGTGAGTGGGGCGCTGTTCAACGTCGGGGCATGCAGGTATGGATTCAAGCTCGGGTGGGGCTTGGGTGGAACCCTGAAAGGCTGTGGGATCCCGGGCATTGCGACACCGCGAGATCAGATAATCGTCCCGTTGGCCGTGCTCATCGATCGCGAGTGTATTTGCAACGCTCGACGTTTGCAGCGCTGAGAACAATGTTTAAAGCAACGAGTGTAACTTGTCACAGGAAAATCAGGCCGCACTGAGCCAGCTTAAAATGTGGTACTTGCTGCTGCAAATGTGTCAGTTTATGACGGTGCCGTACTGCTATCGCTCAGAGGCGATGACGTTTCGTAGTTTTGCATCGCCGTGCTGGTTTTCAGCGCGGACCGGGGAGGTCCTCGTCATTCGCAACTGCGTGCTGAAGAACATGGAGTCGCAGTGTGGGGCTTTCAAGTTCGCCAACGAGACTCTCCATGGCTGTGTGCTGACCTGCAACTACGATGGCTGCAACGGCGCCACCTCACAGACCGTTTGCGCACTTACGCTTCTGCTCACGCTCGCCGCAGCGCTCTGGGGCGTCGGGTGAAGTCCGGATAATCTGACCGTGTGTGTGTTGCTTTGGTTCGTCATTTGGAGCCCGCTGGCCGACTGCGGTGGCCTGTGTATGGGGTCTGCTGACGGGGCTCGCATGCCCATGCTCTAGCACGTGCGGTACGAGCATCTTTTGCTGCCGCCCAGCACGCTCCGGTATTTTTAGACGGACTCGCGTGAAATAACAAGCGTGGACGTACTGTCAGTAGGCAGTAGGCACCAGCTAAACGTCTTAGTAGACGCTTAATTTTGTTAAAGATTTCCCTTAACATAACATAGAGTTGTACTGCAACCTTATTCTCTGGGTGGGAAGAGTGTGCACATTATCTGCTCTGTGATGATTTTTGCTCGCTTATCAACGGTTCGCTGCAGCGCCACGAATTTTTTGAGACTTTCATAGGATGGATATGTTGAAAGGACGCTGTGTTGGAATACGAAACAAATCTTCTTGGCAGGGGCGGTTCCAGATCATCGTTTTGGGAGCTATTTTTCTGTGCTTACAGGGTGAGAAGCATAAGTTAGCGCGCCACACTGACGTGTTTTTGGAGTGAATTAAAGATCGCGGATTTATTCGTATGGTTATTTAGAGCATGCGTGTTGCATATCAATATCTTCGGCGAAATGGTGAGTACACTGTAACACTTAATGCGTCCACCATGCGCTTATTGTGTCAGGCTTTATGAAGAGAAACATTCCCCACAGGCACTCCAGACTTCCACCTTGGAATGAAAACTCGTTGAAACAAATCAAATGGTGTTTTGTTCATCGATGTTGGAAAACGAGTTTCCGAGATATCTAGGGTGGGGAGACACACAGCTTATATTTGGTGTAGAACCGAATATATACATAAAACACATGCATATATATACATATATATATATATATATATATATATATATGTGTGTGTGTGTGTGTGTAAATATATATAATATATGTATGTATACAAATAAATAAATAAATAAATATGTATATATATATATATATATCTGCATATATATATAGGCAATATTTACGAAAAGCGAGCGAGCATTATCACCAACCCGCAGGGCATCTAGTGTATGAGTGATGTCGCGGGAGATGAAATGGACGGAGAAGTGTGAGCAATGTAACAGACATGACAAATATCCCTTCATTTAATTTCTTCGTCGTACTGGGGCTCTACATAGTCAAGGCAAGCCTCAAGCAAGGATATCCATGCATGTATGGGTCGAAACGGTCCGCAAAAAGGGGTAAAGTTTGAACCATCGCGCCATCACTTACATTCATTTAAAGCCATTTTCCCCAAAAGCGTCCTCTTATATGATATTCCAAACAAACAATCACGTTAAACGTTCTGCACAGCAAGTGACTGAAGTGATTGCTCCCTAATCTTTCACATGTTATGCTGACGGTAGCCACTTTAGCTCGGAAATAGAATCATCTAACATTCAGCGTGCCATTGCAAGCCAGTGCTATGCGTCACGCCACATCGTTGCGATGAAATGAATACGACACTGATGATCGAACGAATGTGTAATTATATCGTATATAAATAATATAATTACGTAATTACGATATTATTACGAATAATATAATTACGAGCGCAAGCAGAATATAAATTACAACGACTGAGGTGATAGCTCTGGTAGGTGTGTCGCGCGATATGGCGGGAGGGAGGCATCGGGGTGCTCCGCAGGTGTGCATCTGAACCTGCCCTAAGCCCAACGTCAGGCTGTTTGCCAGCTTTTTCTCCGGCTTAAGTATGATTGCGACACATGGGGCCCGCTCTCGTCCCTTTTTTGGTCTGGCGTCTAGGAGAACGTGCAGCCGTGGCAGTGCAGCGGCCGGCATAGGTGACCTATGACCGTTGGTCCCCCCACGAACATTGCTTTCATACTAGGGTTTCTGTCTGGAGGGAAGTAATCAGTATGTACTGCACTGTGACCCTGGCGTGACCCTGGTCCATCGCTGCCAGCGGCTTGCTGTGGGGTTTCATCTTTTCTTTTTCGTCTCTTCTGTTCCGAAAGTGACTTACTCAGACCCCGTGCCGAAAATCGCTGCTAAAAACAGATGTTCGCCAATGACGCACATGCAAATACTTGTATGTTAAAAATATATGTCAAATATACTTGACAAATTACAACTACATTTGTGTTCTTATGAATGAGTCTATCTGTATTCGTTTGGATGAGCCGCTGGCCTCATCCAGTGTTCAAACCCCCCGAAGCTACCCCTACCCGAACGGTGAGGTTTCCCTGTCCGAGCAGAACATTGAATAATGGGGCTCAAAACCACGTTAGTTTGAACCACTGGGGCTACTATGAGCATACGCCCTCGTCTTTAAGTCGAGAATGTGCCGCACAGGCGGTGGACCTCGCTCGGTATTCCGGGCAACCATTCTCACGGGAGCGATGACATATTTTGGCACGATGCACTTACACGACTGGGGATCAGAAGACGTGCCCATCGCCCTCCGCAGCTGTGGTATACGGACTGCTCTCATAGTACTCATTGGGGTTCATGGGGGAGGGGGGTTAACACATAGCGCGGTGTGATGGTGACCGCGGGTTTCGATTACAGTTCCGCGGTATATCTCGCACCTGACTGCGTCACAAAAAAGGCGTCGGGGAGGACGACTAACCCATTTCGTGGGACTCGTCCCAGAGTGAACGACAAGATGGGCATTCCGATAACCCGTCCGGTTGTCAGCCTTCAAGCACGCTGTCCAAGTTATCCACATGTTCACTGGGGACGTACGAGCTCAGTGCCACTTCACACGGTTCAGCAATCATTCTTCCGTAAAGCCACCTTGCCTCGGAAGATGTTTGAAAAACAATACAGTCCTTGATATCGAGAACACAAGTTTAAGTGGCCGAAATGCGGAGTAAATCTGGTTTGGGGAAGGTCAAGTAAACCTTATTGGCTGCGCCGCCCCAGCCAAAGTCGAAAACGTGACACCCCTGATGAGCATGTCAGGTAGTGCATTCGATCGGTGGATGTCGGTTAGATAGGCTGATGTGCTTGGTTGACCTATCAGAGATATGTGACTATCTGCCACTACTGGTGGCTGATAGCACTGAGATGCCATGTCGCGTTACACCATCAGTACAGTATTGCGTCAAGGGTCATTTCCAGCACGTAACAGGTTAAAATTCGAGACACCGCGCTCTTTCCGATGCCCATAGGCTGCAGTGTGTACTAGGGCTTATCAATGAATATCATTGTGTGAAGTACCTTCAAAAACGAGCGTAATCGTCTGCCATTGTCACAAAGCTTATATAGCACGTGAATGACTTTCAACTATTTGTGAGACGAGGCCCACGGAATGTAACCAGGCTTGTCATGGAGGGAGCCTTTGAATTATTCAGTTCAAGGTTCGCAAACAACGGAATGCAAAAGAGCCTATCCAATAATCAGGAAAAAGTCAGCTCTTAGGAAAAGCTCAGCGCATCGGAGGTCTCCGCCGTGTAGGCTCGCGTGGACCATCGATTCGTTAGCACAGCAAAGAAGATGCAAATACCTGAGGTTTTTTCTTTGTGAAAAACAATCAGGTTTTTGCACCCAACTACTCAAATACCCAAATACTCCGAAAACACCCAAATACCCCGTCTTTGAATTACTCCAGACAGGATCTTATGGGAAATCAGTCGTGCAATTATGCAGAAGTGCATACGGATCCTAGTTGCGATAGTTAATCGTCGTAATCTAATGCCCAACATTATTGTGCGCGAAACGATGCAATCGTTAGCGATAGCGCATGTGCTTTACAGCATCACTGCTGAAGGTACTGTAGACGCCGCTGCATAGGTGCTGCATTTGAAAAGTGCTATCGGCCAGAGTGATAGCAGAATTTCATAAGGACGGGCATGCCAGTGCCACCCGGAGGCAGTTGGGCTGGCTGAGCATGAGTAAACTCATTCAGTACAGAGCATGCATAAGGAAATAAAATAGCATGGCCACTGGAGAGCCAGCTCAGCTGGCAGCGCTCTCTCGATCAGCCCGCGTCGTGAGCGACATTGACACGTGGCAGCGAGGGCCAATCCGTTTGACACGCGTCCGAACTGAAGCAGGGGAGCGTCACTTCTCGTTCAGAGGCACAACGGTTTGGAACGGCGTCCTCTGCCCGTCCACGTCCATCGTTTAAACAGACGATGAAAACAAGCATTCCCAACATGAGGGCGTCTGCCTAACTGTATTTGAGAAAATAGTGGTAGACGATTTTATCACATTACTCACGGGGAGTGCTTTATGTTTAATTTCACACATGCTTTCGCACAACATGATCTTAATGAGTACCTCGTGGTACAATGGTGGTACAATGAATATCGGATATTTTCATTACAAGCTTTCTATCTGTCTGGGGTTGCGGGCTGCTGTTTAATCCCGACGGTCACCAGCGTGCCCTCTTCCATCACGTGATTCCGCGCCAACGTGGTGAATGCTGGGCAAGGATGTCGTCTCGGCTCATATAGCAGCGATATTCCATGATAAATACATCCCACTACGACTGCACCAGGTGTGCACCATCAACGAAGACTGCTGCGTGGCCAGTTGTCTTCCCGTGCATCTCTATCAACACCATGGCAGCGATAGAAAATATCGATGGATATTTTCAAATATGATGCCGACTTGCAACTGGAGCGTACGTGACATGAAGGTGAATGAGCACCAGAGGAAAAATGACAGATTACACTAATGCTTGCTGAGCCCTTAGAACGAACTTTGGTAGTGAAACTGAAAGCAGCACAGTCTGCTGAGCAAAGGACTTTTGGTCTGCGTTTGGAAAACGCGAGCACCAATTTTTGCGTGAAAAGCCCAAGAGAACGTGATACGTGAGCCGCGAAGGGACGAAGCCATGCGGCAATCACACATCGCACTCTAGACCGATTTCGCACAATTAAAATTTCACCAAACCGACCGCCATCAAAAGGACATGCACTGTTACCACCTGGCCACGGCGGTCGCATTCATCACAAGGGATCTGTGTGTGTGTGTGTCATTGGGGCTTTACGACGCACTCAGCTGCTGAGGCTATATGGCGTCGCCTGCCTCCCACCCTGGCAGGAAGGGCGAGCACTGTGATCACAAGTAAGCACAAGGCGAGCACAAGTGATCTGAGCAATTGAACAAGTCCTGATGGCTTTCGCGTTACTGGCGCAGGAAGGGCATTCTTTTTTGCTGGGAAAATTAGCAAATATCGTCTGCTGGGTATCGCGGGAGCCTAGCGGCTAAGTGGTGTGACACTCTAAGCTGGACCGCCACCATAGCCATGCTCCTCCAGTAATGACACCGGTGGCGGCTCAGAAGCCGTACTATGGAGATCGTCCCAGTGCCTTGGCAGGAGCAGGGGCCTCCAGGTCAATCGCCCATCCGACTGCGAGCAGCATAGGCATGTCATCTTCCACATGTTTATATTAAAAGCGATTGGAGGTGCGCCATGATACAAACACCATTCGCTTCTGGACACACGACAAATACCACAGGCTTCCGGACACACAACATCCCGCGGCACTCAAATCGCGCACGCGTCTGGACATTCATCCACTTCGGCTAGCGTGCTGCACGGCACACAGCGCGGCGCGACGATTTGAGGGCCCCAAATCGCAGCTTCACAATCAATGCCTAACACAGTGAGTCTACGATTAGGCGCGTGCCCGGGGACTGCGATTTCGGCTCTGCGCCGCGCCCACGGCGAGCGGATACAGCTGCGTCGAGGGCGGCGCACTTCTGACGGTTGCGGCGCCCGCCGCCGCAGCCCTGCTCAGCTATGGACGTCTGTCGGGGCCTGCGACTGGGGGCGTGTCCAGACGCTGTCTCGACAAATGCCCTCGGATGGGGAGGACAGAGTATCACAGTTGCATCACCTCCACGTGGCAC